AAATAAAATTAAAATGAAATATGAAATAATATACAAATTCTAACTCACGTATCCAACTCCGTAAATCGGGAGCGGGTAACTGAATGCTAGCCATCTTTATTTCATATTTCTTTAAAGTAGTAGGTTTTAAATAATTTCTAAAATATTCATTTGTAAATGTCTAACAAAAATTCCAATGTAAGAAACGAACAAAGAAATATGAAATAATTTACATATTCTATATTACATCGAGCTGCCTCAAAACACTTCTAAAATTACGATTAAGAAGCGCATTTTTTCAGTCGGGCGACTACTTTGATGCCCAATTACTCCAAAAATATTTTCGAAAAATTCAACATGATCTTATTTGAAGATCTGTTTTAATGAACACATTTCACTAAGTAAAAATTATAAATTGTAATTCATAATTGTAGTTGTGGGAAGACGCCGAAAAAATAATTATTTTTGAAAAATTGTTGGAAAATCAGGGTTTTCAACCAACATGAGACCTGCACCATTTCCTTAAACATCCTTCAGACTATCCAACAACAAAATTTCATAAAAAACAATATAGCTCTTTTTGAGAAAAAATATTTAAACAAAGATTACAAATTGTGTATATTTCACGCAAAATTACGCGAAAAATACTCAAATTTTCGAAAAACTGTACATGACCTTTCTTCAAAATCTATCTTTAAGGAATAATTTCACTAAGGTAAAAAATATCTATCTTTAATATTGTAGCTGTAGGAAAACGCCGAAAAAAATTGATTTTTTTTCATTTCTCGAAAATCAAAGTTTTTAACGTGCATGAAAAACGCGTCATTCCCTTAAACGTTTTTTTCAGACAATCCAACAACAAAATTTAATTTTTTCCTCTCTAAATTCTCCTTTTTGTTGAGCTTTCTGAATTTATGAAAATTGTAAAAGTGAGAAAAATTGTGCTATTGTAGTTTCATTAGTTTATTTATCACATGAGTAGGTAAGAGTTCCAGTATGTATGAACTTTGTCACATTTATGTTGCTACAATTTGCCCAGATACAGTATTAGCATAGACAGTGACTTCTTTCACCTGGTGATAAAGACTTATTAATGTTTTAAGTCATTACTAAACCTAAAGAACCTTTTGATTGAATGCCTTCATTATACATTAAATTCACTGCCTTAGATCTCTCGTAGTAGTATGTGGTGAAATTGTAAGATTTCAGTTTTTGTTTATTGCAAATGTTGTTGGTTTTTAAGGTATTCCTCTACTGAAAGGAAGTAAATCCCTAATTATTGCATTTACTTTCTTCTTGGAAAAATTTTGTGGTTTCTATGATAACTACTTACTTAAACAAAAACACAATTCGTTTTTAATTTTATTTAATATACCACAAACATAGTTCAGTACTATGTACCTCATATGTCAAGGAATAATTAATATATTTTAATGATTTTTTTTTGTTATTTTTGTCAGTAAACAAAAGCTTACCTCCTTAGTCTCCTCCAACCATCTAAACAACACATCAAGAACACATTGACAGCTACAGTCATGAAAATACTCGAGAGTCCATTAAAAATATCTTAGAAGATTCTCTGGTTTAGATTATACCAGTGCTTATAAATCTTTAGATAAATACGTCCTTTTTGTTCCCCCTTTTTCATTTGCCCCTTAGCTCATTTTGTTCCTGCCTCCATTACCTAATTTGTCCCCTTTACCCTGCTTTGTGCCACTTGTCCCCATTTACTCTTTTGGTCCTTCCATGCACTGCAATTGTTATCAATACCAAGGCCCTGTATCAACAACCCTTGCTACAGAACATCGAGAGTAATTCTTAACTCTTGAAAGTGTGAAATGTTTATTTTGAATAACAAGAAATAACAGAAAACACTGTATTTAACACATCCTCTATTAGTCTTTAAGGACTCAGCCGGAAGGTCAATTTAAAGGACTACTTACATGTCTTTTGCTTCATTGGGATGTTAGAAAATTCAAATCTCTGAAAAAGTCCATTAAAGATCAGAGTTTGCAACACCTGACAGTGAAAAGAGATACCAGTAGCCAGAAAATAGCAAATATCTCAAAAACTAAGAAAATTAGATCAAATGTCTTGGAAGTGTCAAAAAGTACAAAAGACATAGATTTCAATACAACAAAAAGAAGGGAAAAAAGCATTTTTTGTTCCATTTCCAATCATTTTTAGAGATGAGAACACTAAGTGATGTCATCAGAATGTTTTGTCCATGGTCCGTGGCCTGTTTAATATTAATAATAATAATATTTATTGAGTCACATATACAATTACAATTGTGTATGAGGAGTTAATATGAAGTCTTGGGTGGAGAGAGCAAGGTTATATTACTGTTCAGGAGCAAAACAAGGGGCCATCTCAGCATTTGCTCAAGGGACCAGGGAAACTGAACAAAACCTGATCGAGATGGGGTCATTGGCCTACGGATTATATTACAATACTTGCTACAAATAGATTAGGATATTATACAGTAGATAATTATTTTTAGTAGCAGATAATTTAACATTTCAAGATGTTATTGTCATTTTAATGCTACTACTTATAATAATAATGATAATATTAATATTAAAACAATACATGATATCAATTTGTTAGAAACTACATAAAATTTAATAATATTAGTACATTCTATGTTATAACTTGAAACAGTGAGGAGGAGGCAGGTTTTGACCAGTTTTTCATAAAGTCAAATGGGATAAGAAATTCTTAATTTTTTTTTTTTTTAAGGGAAATATTGTTGTGATTTGAATATTCTTTTACACTGTAGGGCATGTTGTTAAGCAGGAAAGCTTTCAATTTACTTTTAAATGTATGAATTGTGTATGTGTCTTTAATATTATTGCCTAGTTTGTTGTAAAGTGTAATACCCTCTATTAGGGTACTTTTTTGATGAAGTGTAGTTTCAGAGTGGAGAACATGTAGGTTATCCTTTTGATGAGTGTTGTAGTTGTGTACATCGGAGTTTGAAGTAAAAGTGTCTTTGTTTTCTGTGAGAATTTTCTTTGTGAAGACCACTATTTCAAATATATACACACACCTAAAAGATGGAATAATATTATGGGGATATGCCCCTTAATGCACTCGCAGATTGATTATCCAAAAAAGAATATTGCAAAGACCAGAACTTGGAGTCTTGCAAACCATTGTTCAATTAACTCAGGATTCTTTCTCTACCATCAATACATTCATGATTAATGATACTACACGATTAACGTGTGTAATTCTTCCAGGATCAGCTTTTCAGCTGTATCCTTGGATTACAACAAGGTTGTTATGTCTTGAAATGTGATTAATGGATTAGGAGGTGATAGGATATTGGTGAAAGGTGATCGTGGACTTTTTTGAAACATCCCAGCATTCGCCTTATGACCGAGGGAAACCACGAAAACTCCGGTCAGGATGGCCGGCCCGGGAATCGAACCCGGACCTCCCGATTACGAAGTCAGTGCGCTACACACTGAGCCACTTCGCTCGGTAATTATTATTATTATTATTATTATTATTATTATTATTATTATTATTATTATTAGGTGCTGTAGTCTTTTTAATAATGTCCCACATAGCTTTTGTTATATTACGTGCATTACTTTTTTAGGATCGAATTATATGTTTTGTAATATGAAATGAAGTTTGAGTTATATTTGTTATTTGTTAGTATTTTATACATGTTGCATTTTCTATCACATAACACTTTGATGCCTGTGGTAATCCATGATTTAGTTTTCTTATTTTTGATCTTTTTGAGTTTTTGAGGGAGTCATTGAAATGTCTTATGTATATATTTATGAATGAATTAAACTTATTATTTGCATCAGTTGCCTTATATACTTCATTCCAATTTTCGAATCTGAGTTAGGTTTGAAATTTTATTGGACATAGTTATGGATTCCTTGGGCATAGTTACGGATGTCTGTTCCGCAGATTTTGTTCTGTTTGAAGTGTTAGAATCTGGGCAGTGTGGACACTGAAACCTGTATTAAATGTAGCAACAGAAAAACAATGGATAGTTACATCTATTATCTTTTGATCTATAGCAGTGCTACTATTTTTGGACATTTGGGTTGATGTATTTATGGTTGTTTGTAAATTGTATGATTTTAATAGATCTTTAAATATATTTTCTTCACTAGATTGTGTAAGGCAATTTATATTGAAGTCACCGCAAAGAATAATTTTACACTGCCTGTGTTTTTGAAGTATTGTTAGAATAACTTCTAGATTTTTTAAAAAGATTTTCAAATTCCCAGTAGGGCTGTAATATGTGCAATAAGACACATGTTTTTAAGGTAGTTAAGTCAGTGATGGATAGTTCAAAGTCTTTCTCTTTTACAAAATGAGTGTGACTGGTGTAGGGTACAAAACTAATAGTATCTTTAATAAAAATGCATGTCCCACCATATGCATGATGTGCATTGTTAATATTTTGACACGACCTGCTGACTAGAGAGAAACCTGGTATATACGTGTTATCTGATTGTTTTTACTTAGCCAGTGTTCTGTGAAGCACAATATTGAAATGTGGTTGAGTTTCTCCTCAAGTAATATTTCTACATCAGCGAGTTTAATTTTCAGTGACTGTACATTTTGGTGAAGAATGTGAAAACTTCTTATTTTTGTGTATTGTCTGCTGATGTTTGATGCTACGCTGTTTGTTGGGGTACTGTTCCAGCATTCACCTACTGTTGATCAGAGAAACTTGCAGCTGGCTGCTAGAATTCTTTCACACAGCAGTTGAATTTGTCCTAGCTCTCTAGCAAGGGTTGAAAATCCTGCCACCATTGGGATTTGAACCCTATGACATCCAGGTCATAGGCACTACAATGTCAGTTGATGTCCTAAGTCACCTAAGCCATTTTGGCTAACAAAGGAAATACACGGAATGTGTATTTCTCTTTAGGAAAAGGGGGCAGTTAGTTTTTACTTTTCTACCAAACTTCTGAGAATTTTAAAATGTGCAAAAAACATTACATGAAGCGAAAGCTCACGGTTGACAAATTGTATGAATATGCTCATTACACCTCATATGCATTAATTTTAATGTTAACATAATTTATGCAAAAAACTAATTAAATGGACTAAACATGCCAGGTAAAGTCTAAATACACCATATTACATCGAAAAATATATTGCATGGATTGGCAGATCCATGGAAAAAGTATATACTGTTTCAATGAGTACATCAAAAAACATGTTTACAGAGTTCTAGTGTTCTAATAAGCTTACATAAAAATATGTATTCACATGGAAATTATGTCACTAATTGTAATCAGAATGAAAAATGAAAATTTCAACTGAGGTTTCCTTGTTATCAAGTAACAGCAAATTATTTTTTTTTTTAATTTACAATAGTTCAAAGTTGTCTTGATTCCACAGATAGATATCTTACTGCCACATTTTTGGTTAGGGGATGTTGTTATATTAGCAGAAATGCAGAAAAGTGAGGTTTAGTAAATAATGGAATGAAGTGGTTTTCATTCTGATGGCCTGAATTAGTCAATTTCATCATATGTTTATTTTTGATGCTCTTAAATAGAATTGTGATGACAATCTTTGTAGGAAAACATCACAGGCTTTTTATTTCTTGATTTGATTATTGCACAAGTTTGTCTCTTTAATATTATGTGCACGATGGAAGACAAAATTACATCACAAACAAACACTTTTCATAATGTTTTTCTGTACATTTCTTTTTGAGATGGACTTTTTTCACAATAAGGTGATTTATAATGTCTGAAAGCATTTAGCAACCCAATAACACAACAGAAAGGCAGTTGGTACATTTCACACTTCATCTACTGAGTGAAATGCGTGCATGTGGAGGGTTCTTATTTTTAATATCACAGAATAAATCACTTCATTTACATTCACAAATTAGACTAGATCAGAGATTATGCAGGATTTTTAAAGACTTAGGATTACACAACATTGTACGTTTTTCTAAACCTAAATTGGGCTTTATTACTGTGTAAGAATTTCAAAACCATTTTCAGTAATGAGAACAGTATGTTCAGCTTGAGCAGCACGACCATCATCCAACATAACAGCCGTCCAACCATCTTCAAGTATAACAACTTCTTCAGTACCTTGAGCAACAACTGGCTCAATGGTAAAAGTCATCCCTTCCTCCATCATACCAGGAAAACCATGAGCTATCAACAGATAATAAATAAAATTTACAGTAACTAAACACATATCAAATAATTCCTCGAAAATTAAAAACAACTTTCTAAATAATCCACAACTGAGGACTCCCTACAATTTCCTTACGTTTAACCAGAAGAGATGTGTAAATTGTGTATTATTTTCTTCTGTAATTTACCTTCAATTGAATTTTCTAATAGTCCCAAAGTTTCAGATAATTGGAAATGTGAAAATGTCATTCCTTTTGAACATTTACTTGTAATTTACTTACCAAAATGATAAATATCTGGTGGTCCATGGAAGTAAGACCCAATACCGTGTCCTACAAAAGCTGGTACTACAGTAACTTTCGAAATAGCAGCAGCATTTTCTATTGCACCTCCTGAAATTTAATATAAAGGGCTCCTTTAATAACAACATTAAAAGCATAAAGAAATATCAATCTTCTATAAACTCATATAGATCATAATTTTGGCAAAGTTGGAATTTTTTTAATTTTCCAAAGAATTCATAAGAAATCAAAAAGTATTCTAAAAAACTATTAAGTGTTTGATAGCACCATTTCAGTGTTATGAAAATTCATATTTTTTAGTTCTTTTTTCCCCATTTTAAATTTAAAACTGCAGCACAAAAAAGTTTGATATCTACACAGCATTTATTGATTACTGTATTTGCCCAAATATAAGGCTTTTCCCTAAATATCTCGTTTGAAAAATATAGTCATATTATATTAAACTTAGGTGTTTGGGATCTATGATTTTACACTGTCTTTCCTTGTCAAGAAACACAAAACACCCTATCCAGGTCAAACACCCAAATATAAACATATTAGGTAGGTAAATAATGATTAGTTTATTTTGTAGGCCTGAAAATACTAAATACAAGGCATTTTGTTTTAATATCCTAATCTACCTAATGCTGAGTAATTTAAAGAACTGTAAATGTCTACAAATGCAAACTGGCAGTGGCATAAAACATATATGGCCATCATTTGAGAACAGGGTACAATAAAAAAAATGTCTTTGAACAACTAGAACAAAAGTAAATTTATGTAGAAAGGATACATTTTTTGAGATGGTGAGATGACCAATTTTAGGTGTCTCCGCACCACTGAAAATGGATTGACCCCAATACATTGAAAAATTATTTCTGAAAAAGTAGCAAATCACCATTTCTCTATCAAGCTGTGTTTCAGTTCCTACCAACTTATCATCCAGAGTTAAAACTTACCAATGGCTGAAAAAGGAACACCTGATTTGCACACAGATATTCCTGCATCCCGACACATATATGCTGCTTTAACCAACGCTTGTCCAGGTTCATCAACATTACCTATTAAAAAGGTGTCGGCACAATCTCCATGCACACCATCAAAATACACCTGTATAGAGTCCATAATAACATTAATACTACGCAGAATCTTTATATAAATGCTACAATTGAATATTATTGATCAAAATGACTGAAAGAAACGTGATGTTCAAAAAACAACTAAAAGGTATTTCCTATCTTGTTCAATTTGAATTTTGAGAATAGAAATAGTTCTTAAATAGAATATTTGTTATGAGTCAAATGGCAATATTAAAAAGAGACTAATGTTTACATTCATTGACAAAAAAATAGTAATAACCTACCCTTTATCACTAGCATTTACACAAAAGAACAATTATGTAACAATTAAAATTTTACATTCAATACAAGTGGACTTCTCAATTGGATTTTCCAATTGAAGATTGGAAATACGGAACTCTGGAAGTGCGACACTCACTCCTTTGGCAAATTCAGCGTTCAATGAAACAAATTACTCGTGAAGCGTGATCACTTCTACATCCATTGGAATTGGATTATTACTCATTTTAATGCAACTGTCAATGAATTTAATCCAAGCAGAGTTAGACAAACCTTAAAATACATGAATCCTTCTATAAAGAATAAAGTGACTTTCATGTAGGGTAGAACACTCAAATTTACACATAACTTTTTATATATTATGATTTCTGAACTAAATGGAAACATTTATGGTATTTCCAAGTTTTCCATAGTTGTTTGTCTAGCTACAGGCAATGGTTTCCATTAATTATCAGAAAATATATAATTTTAGCATTTTGCTATTTCCTATTTTACTAGTTTATGTAGTTGCTGTTTGATCAAAATTAATATACAGGAGGAATGAAAATGACCGTGTTGATCAAGTATTGAATTGATCGAGCATTCAGATGGTATTGGATTTGTACATTTTGTTTTTCGGATGTCTCATCAGATACTAGATATTTGTTCTCTCAGAGAAACTTATGTGATTAATTTAGCATAGTTACATGTTTTGAACGTGGAATTGAAATAAAGTTGTATAAACACAACAGTATTGGACATTAAAAACTGTTATAGATTCAGAACCAACATAACCAATTTTTTTCATTTTATTGATCAACTATATTTATATCTGTTGTTAACATCACATATTGCCATGTTTACTTAAGTTCATTAAACAAATAAAGTAGAATTAGGATTAAAATATTAATTTTTAGAAGCAAAGGATAATGAAACTGAATATTTAAATAGTTCAGATCACACCACATACTGAGTTGTATTTGAAAAATTAGTAAATGAATAAGTAAAAACCAAAGGCACACAATTTTAAACATGAGAAAGGTAAAATGGAGGCTGCAGATGAATTCATAGTAAACATATTTGGTGGTATCTACACACCACGTGTTTGTGTCCAGTGGTTCTGGGGAATGGTCTTCGTATCATGTTCAGGGTACAATTTACTTATTACTCATTTTAATGCAACTGTCAATGAATTTAATTCAAGCAGAGTTAGACAAACCTTAAAATACATAAATCCTTCTATAAAGAATAAAGTGACTTTCATGTAGGGTAGAACACACAAATTTACACATAACTTTTTAAATATTAAGATTTCTGAAATAATAACTTGGTTACATTTAGAGCAACATTTGGATATAACTATATTTATGATTTACCACTCGATTTTATTCCAATGTTTAGTTACTATAGTACTATAAAATGATTTTTTATGGAACATACCGTTACATCCACTGTTACAATGTCTCCATCACATAGTGGCCTATTATCGGGAATGCCATGCACAGCTACATTGTTAACTGAAGTGCATATGCTGCGAGGGAAGCCACGGTAATTCAGTGGTGAAGGATAAGCACCAGCATTGATAGCTTGACGCCATAATTCATCATTCAGTTGTGCTGTTGTTGTGCCTACCTATAAAAGTTACATTGTTCTGACATTCTTCAAAATATAAAATTTATAATGGTATAAAACAATTCATTATATATGCATTCCACAATTATAAAATATTCACTGAAAAAACAATTCAACAGTAAGCTGAAGCAGCACATTAGGTTATGATCTACCCACAATCCTTTTCACCCATGTTTCTCATGTCTTCCTACCCTATTTATGTTTCTCATATCCCCCATCATGCAATGGGCAATGACCACGTAGTACCAGACAACAATGTAGAGTTTTGACTTTGTACAATAGATGGGTAAAAACAATCATAACAATAAAAATAATTCTTAAAACCGTTTTTATTTTGTATTTATTTAACATCAAAAGACACTAAAAGCATTGTGACAATTAGAAAGCAAAAGTCATGGTAGTCAAGTGGGACAGGATAAATGGTGTGCAAGTTTAGCCTCTGCTCCTCAAATGTCAACCTATAATTGGCGATTTAGTATCTCCCAGGATAAGGAGATCCCTTCAACCAAGTACCATCAGCCTCTTCAGAGGATAATGAGTACGTAGGAATTGGGGCACTGTCGTGTCCTTGGAATGGGAAAGTTATCCTAAAGCCGCAAGTGTCGTAAGGTTAACACATTAGGTAGGAGGAGGCACTTGCAGAATCCTTTAGATAGCCAGTGTCGTTAGCCGAATTGCTTAATTAAACTCCGTCAAGACACGGAAGTTAAGCAACTCAAGACATCACGGCTTCCTAGACGGGTGCCAATCTGGGAACCGCGGTTACTAACAGCGCCGAGCCCCTGGCCGAAGGGATAAAGGGCACTAACTGCGACGTGCTGAGACAAAAAGTTAACGGAGTTATTGCAGATACGCTCAATGCCCAAGAAAGTCTAAGAGAGTGTTGCGAAGAAGCAACATGTGTGTGTGTCTTTGTGTGTGTGTAAAGAATGGTTTTATAATGTTTGTTATGTTATCTTTCCCATTAGTATCCTGATAGCTTTTGTGTGGTGAGCATTGTTTGATGTTTACTTTCATCATGGAGCAGATGCATCCAGTTGATAAAAAGGTATTACAAGAACAATGAAAGTCCCACAGCAACCGTTCGTGAATTGCGTGTGATACTCGGACATCATGATGTTCCAACAGAATCGTCAGTTCGGAAGTTTGAGACCAAGGGTTCTGTGTCAAACGTTACGAAAACAGGACTGTTCGAAATTAAGAAAACATTGTTGCCGTCCGTGACAATGTGACCGTAAGCCCCAGAAAATCGGTTCGCCGACAAGCTCTACAATTCAATTTTTCGCAAAGCTCACTGTATATCACCCTTTCAAAATCCGAAAATGCATGCATACGAGATTCAACTTACACAAGAGTTGAAGCCTGCAGGTCATGGAAAGAGACGTCGATTTGCTCAATGGGTCTTGGATTGACAAGCGGAGAACGAAAACTTCACAAAAAGAATAATTTTCTCAGATGAGTCGCACTTCCACCTCAGTGGATACGTCAATAAGCAGAACTGCAGAATTTGCACTAACGAAAATCCGCGAGTGACTGTGGAAGACGAAATGCATCCACAAGGCACGACTGTGTTGGTGTGGGTTCTGGACAGGAAGCGTGATCGGCCCGTTCTTTTTTGAAGATGAGGGAGCTGCCGTCACTGTGAACGCCGACCGGCTGATTGGTTTTTACAGTTTTGGATATGGAAAATGACGATTTATGGTTTCAACAAGATGGAGCAACATGGCACACATTCCATGAAACGATTGCTCTGCTGAATCAAAAGTTTCCTCAAAAAATTATCTCTTTGCGCGGCAATCAGGAATAGCCTGCCAGATCTTGCGATATTACACCGTGAATTTTTTGTGGGGATTTGTGAAATCAAAAGAGTACGTGAATAAACCACAAACAATAATCGAATTGAAGAATGAAATTAAAAGGGTTATTAACGGCATCCCACCAGATGTTTGTGAACACGTCATCGCTAACTTCAATGAACGCATTGCTCGTTGCCGCGCGGCCTTGGGAGGTCATATGGGGGATATAATTTTTCATACATGAATGGGAGAAGCTACTATATATATATATATATATATATATATATATATATATATATATATATAATGTGTGTGTGTGTATTATGACGAACGCAAGTGACTATGTTCGTCCCACACGCCCACGCATCAAGAAAACGCCTGTGGTAGACCGGGTGAGCGAGCGCGACGCGTTTTCAATACGGCCAGTCATCCTCTTTCGTTCCCGGTCTTCGAACCAGCAGCACTCTCTTCAGTTTTTGACCACCGATCCAGCAACTAGCAACTTCGCTGAGTTACTAAGTAGGAGCGTTGGTCGTCGGACATCCGCCTAGATAGCCGTCCGCAACCTTTGTTACAATTTTTCTGGAAGAAAGTTTTTCTTCCAACAAGACGCAGGGAGTTTATCTAGAATCTATAATTTACAGTGGAACTGAGGGCAGTACAATAGGGAAATCGTTTGGGCTGGGGTAAAGTAAATTTCAATCAGAGGCGACATTTGTGACAGTGCGAACGACAGCTACGCGTACGCATGAGTTCTTCAGCGCATTGCAAGGAACATTCGCACGCGAGCGTTATCATAAATATCAAGGAAGGCGAAGGCAGAAGGCGACGCGGAAGACGACGCAAGAGGGCAGCGAGAAGTCACCGGCGACACGGGGCCCGCGATCGGCTGCGCGGACGCCGAGGCACTTTAAGGTCCAGCGATGGAGCACGGAGGACGCAGCTGCACCTAAAAATTAGGTCAAAGTCACGGCGACCAGGAAGAACTTGTCAACCAGGAAATTGTGAGGGAAATAAGCATACATGCGGCATCTGAATATCAGTCAGATATTCTTACAATTTTAAAAGCATTTTATTGCCTACGAAACTGTAAATAGGTTAATATTAATCTATGTTGTTCGCGGCCACAGCGAAATCGTGGTAGAGAGTGTGGTGCATCTGCACATTATTTTTGTAGTAAAGTTATTTGAATGGAGTGTTACATTGTATATTATGTCATTGGTTAATGTAAATAGGAATTGTGGCAAATTTAATTAGTAAGAGTAACAAATGGAATGCTCAGTGATCATTTGTGCGAATAGTTTACCGATTAATTCTTGCTTAATTGAAAAAGGGTTTCAATTTTTTTGTTCTATTGTCTTTTATTTTGATTTTGGCGTTCTTTTGTAAGCAACGAAAGCGGGTTTTAAGATTATTAAACCTTTTTTAACTGATTTATGTGTTCTTGTTATTGGATTTGCTCTCAACACCCCCAAAGATCCCACGCAAGACCATATCTAAGAAGTTCCCCAACAGGCGATTTTGGGAATTACTAGCTGAGGGGGTATTCGTCAGCAATAATATATATGTATGTATAAAAACCATTGTTGTAACCTGCGTGAGCGCGTCCGCCCGTCACTCAGTTAGACCTCCCCCCCCCTTTCCCGTCCAGTTGAGGTTTCATTCGTCGCGTCTGTTTGCTGGTGGGGGAACTATATATTTCTCTATGGCCCCATCCAGAGGATTCTAACAAATTCCTCCAAAATCTTGTGCTTTCGCAGGCGGCGCGCTGACCTTGGCGAGCGGGCGCAGCTCGTCGAGCAGGCGGCGGGCGAGGCGGCAGGTGCGGCGCATGCGGGCCACGTCGGCGGGGGACTTGCGCTCGGGGGCGGCGGGCGGCGGGGGCGGCGGCGTGCCGTCGGCGTAGGGCGGGCGCACGCACGCCGCGGCCGGCGGCGACGGGTCACGCGCCGAAGGCCCCTCGGGCAACACGCGCTCGTAGCGGCCAAAGCGCGCCCTGCAAAAACGCATGCGACGGTCAGCACAGCCGCCGCTCAACAAAGAGCGCGGCGGGACGGGATGGGACGGGACGGGGCGTGGCGGAGGGTACGCGACCGCGCGGCGTAAATTGCTGCCTTCCCACGGAGACACCCGGCAGCGCCGCCGAATACCGCCGGGGCGTTTCACTCATAGTCACCGATCAGCGCCACTGAGTGTGGGATTCGTCACCGTTGTTGGCGCCGGCGATCTGAGGCGCTCATTTTAAGGGCTCCTTCATTCGGAGCTACTCAGAAGCGTTTCGGAGTGTCGCTGCTGCTGGCAAAGAATTGGTTTAAATGAAGGTATTCACACAAGCGGCGCTGCAGGGCCGGTTAGTGGTGCAATCTCGCCACAGGCAGCGCTTCCGCAGTACCACTACTAGAACACGGTTTTAGATGACAGCTTCACACTATTACACTACTCTTCTTTTTTATAACGTGGCGCGTGACGTAAATCAGCTCTTGACGGTGTCATCTAATCGGGATCTTAAACGTCACCACAGTGACGTTCTAGCTCCCGATTGAATAACACCGTAACAGCTGATTTACGTCATGCGCCACATTAAAAAAACGAAGTACCTCTGAACTTATGTTGGCAGCAGTACGACCACCGGCGACCACAGTGGTGACTTACAAATCCTTCGCTTCGGCGCTTCTCACTGGCTCTGCCGATCTACTCCGTGAGAAGGCGACCTAAGTTCAGGGGCGCTTCTGAGTGGCTTAGTATGAACGCTGCCATTTAGCATTGTGTTCTGCTAGCGTTGGCGGAAGTGCGTCACTGACCGTCAGAGCAGCGCCACTGCGCCGCTCGTGTGAACATCTCCATTTAAAACAATGCTTTACAAGCGGCAGCACTCGGAAGCTGCTGGGTGTCTCCATGTAAAGATAAACTCGAACACTGCAGAGCCGGATTTGCATTTTTGCAAATCCTGGCAAGTTTGGTAGTGGGCTCTTTTTCGCTGTACTACTAAACAAATTAGCTTAGCCAAACAAACATCTCAAACAGAATGTGTGTTGTATCTTAGTATCAGCCTAAATCGTGTCATTATCATTCATCTTCAATGACTCTATTACAATCTGAATAAAATTGATTATATTTTATCATTTCATTTGAATATTGACAATTTTATATTTTATCTGTTAATCATGTGTAAGCTTTGCGATACTTAATTGAAATTCCCAGATGTACTCATATTACAGAAAATATTATTGCATCATCATTACTTAAATTGTTCGTGAAGTGTACTAATTATTTTCCATGTTCCAGTTATGCCACGTTCAAAATGTTCCTTACTGGCACTGCTCGCCAAGCAGCATGGCGGCAAGCGACGTCTGGCCTTACCTGGGCTAGCGCCCTATCGCGAAATACTCGTTTTTACGATTCTAGTATTCCATAGACTTGGGCCTGGGCTGGCTTTTCAAACGAAGAGTCAGTGATGCGAGCACCTGAAGCTGCGCAGAACGAGCAACACACCCATGCTCTTGCATCACGGGTGGAACTTCAGATGACCGATCAGGACGAAGGCCAGACGAGATTGAAACGGATATTTTGAATTTTAGTAGTACTTTACATGAAACCTCAACAAGTAAAAAAAAAAAAAAAAACTAAAAAAATACCAAAACAAACATCAAAAAATGCTCTAATTTTTTTACGCAAGTTTGTCCTGATAGCGCAAAGGATGTCTACAAAAAGTGGCGCGTCTAATTTTTGTAAGGGGGAAAGGTGAGCAGCATGCGACTCCAAGAGCCTGAGTGCGAATCCCAGCGCGGAGGAAAAACTAGTGGAGCTACAACAGCACATACTTTTTGCCATTATTTTTACATATGAAAAATTTAGAGTTCAACGAATATGAGACACGTGCCATTCTTTTAAGCATCCCTTCTTCTATCTGTGGAATAAATTTAAAGAAAAAAATTGGAGCGGTTTTTGAAAAAAAGCTTAATTTTCTTAATTGCCTATATTTTGCGTCAAATTACTCGAAAACTACTCATCTTCGAAAAATTGAACATGAACTTATTTCAAGTCTTTATGGAAAAGATTTCATTAAGGAAAAAATCTCCATCTTTAATATTACAGGTGTAGGAAGAAGAAGAAAGTTTATATATAAATAAGGGGTCCGGCGCAATACCGCCTAACCCACCAAACCTTCAAATTTTAGTTACTTGTAGTTTCGTTCTCTTGAAACACTTCTCTTGCATTCACATTACCAAATAAGCTTGTAACATCATCTATTAGCATGATTTAGAAAAAAAGTCATTCTTCATTCAAAGAGATGTTACTTTTTTCTGGTGTGTATATGTGTGCAATACGGCCCTAATCAAGAAGCACTGTTGAAAACAACTGAATTCATCAAAAAACTCATAACAAATTCTACTTAATAATGTCCTATAATCGAAAAATATGGAGAATAATGGTTGTTACTTGTTCACTTCCCTATTAACCCTTTAACAGTCAGTGAAGAACACATAACATAATTTACACATAACAGCATTTAATTCCTGTTATGTCATCAGCTAGTATTGAGAGAACCTTTTGTACTTTGGGCTATGTACACTCGAAAATCAGACATGCTCTTGGTGTAGAAAAAGCTATTAAATTACTTTTTAACCACACACAATTAAATGCTGGATAAAAACTAATCGATAATCTAAGTCCATTAGTATACAACTACTACAAATTGTTTATAGTTCTTGATTTCATTAGTTTGTTCATTTTACTGTAAAGTATAATGTATTTTATTTTCTCAAAATTGTTCAAATATGTGAAAATGTTTATAAGAAATATAATATATTATTTATATCAAATTTGTAATTTATTTAAGTCTTTTTATCTGAGTTTTTATTTTACAAATATATTTTCAAATATTACAAATAATAAATATCGATTTAAATCATTGATTTTTTTATTAAATAATCAAATTATGTAAATCATGTGTTTTTCAGCCTTACGAGGAAGTAAAAATGCTGGTTGGAAATAGTTTTGCAGGTTCACTTATTACTATCATATGGCTTAGCCATTGCAAATAATGAGAAAAATGATTGAAAATTGTTGCTGAAAGCTGTTGAAATAGCACTAGTTTTGTATCCCATGGGCTCCCATTATCACCTCTTTTTACCTCCCATATTCACTGCCAGAGATCCACACAAACGGTCTCAGTCATATTTATCCATCATTTGCTGTATTCCTGGGCTCAGCAAATAAAGAGAGAGAAATCCCAGAGGATTAATTTTTCAGGTTATTTAGCCAGTACCCTGGTTGATACTGCTAGTGCTATTTATAGTCCACTGTGCATTTTATGCACCTTGGCTGAGATTGAACCCGTGCCAAACAGATTAAACAGTGAACAGACTGACCACCCATCTTCCAATGTGGTCTAAAACAAAATGTTACAACTTCTTGAATTACTAAAAAGAATCTCCAGTGTCACACAAAAAAAGTATTTGAAAATGCTGTACTCACTGTAAAGAACTGAATGCCCTAATAAATAATGGCTCAGGCAAACAAAGGCTTTTAAAAGGATGAAAATGAATCGTATGAATTTTTTACTGCAAGAAATACATACTATGCTAAAAAGTGCTAAATCTCACCTATTTTTATCTTCACTGACAAAGTTACTCTTTAGTTATACTTAAGGAACAGATTTTCATGTAAATACATATTTTTACAGAAACGAGATACACACATTCAATAATATTTTTTGAGTTTACAAGACATTCTGAATGAATTGAGAGTATTATATTCACATATTTTATCTAAAACTATATATTTCATTACATTTTGATATATTTTAAACTTTTCAAATGGAAAATTTCAGATAGCCCTAGGAAATATTTGTTACTAGAATCATCTTTCTTAAAAAGCAATGCAACGCTACCGCGATTCTATAAACTTCGCCATGTATTGTCAAACTTAACCCCCATCCCTGCTTCTTGAAATCAAGGATGGGCAGGTGTTTGTGAGGCGGAAGTAATAGCAACTATGACGTTGCTCATGTTTCACAGAGCCAATGTGCAATTTTGCTGCAAACTAATATTTTGTACGTCATTGTCTCATCACATTATGGAAATTGGAAGAGTAGTCTCTTTAACCGTCCACCTCCTGGGTCCATCACTGGCTACACGGTCCTAATTATTCACTTGAGCACCGGGTACTTGTAAACATTGTACATACAAGGATCGTTCTTTATATTTTGAATAAAACACTTATGAGTGGTGAAAACTACTCTACAATAGAGATTGAATTTTCTTTCAACCGCTCCAAATCAAAGTTCAAATCCAACCAACCACATTCTTTACTTGGAAAATACTTATAAACAGTAACTTTAAATACAATAATGAATTTTTATTTTACTATTTCCTATTTTTTCTTATATACATAGGAAAAAATAAATACATACGTATGTACATATTTTGCTTTTTTTATTACAATAAATTCCATTTCCTAGTTATAAATAAAGTATAATTATTTATACACAACTATAGCTCTTTTTCATGGCAACTAACCCAAAATGCAAATAGTATTCTATTACTTTTGTAATTTATCCACACAATTTTGCAATTATATAATAAATTTATACGTTCATTTTAGAATTATGATTTGGTTTGAATCCACAAAAATTAAAATAAAGTTCTGGTTGGTGAAATTGTCACAGCATAATTGTTATTTTAGTACATCTTCACAGAAATTAGCAAAATATGTAATAAAAAATGTATATTACTTGCACTAAACCTTTACTCCTTATTAACGTTTATGTATCAATATTTTGTCATCTTTGCAAAATTATGAACAGATGATTTAAATTGTAATGGAGAATGAAGAATTGCCCACTTTCTTTAATTGTATTTTGATTTTTATTTAATGTCTATTATCATAAATTTAAAACTTTCTTTTTGAAGCATTGTGATTTACATTTTGGTCCTCATATTAGGTTGATAGTGTGTCATGTTTTTTAACAGAGTTTTGGCGTCATATAGGTACACCAGGACTGACACTTTGTAAATCACATTATATAATAATAATAATCTGTAAATATAAATGTAAAATAGGTCCTTATTAATTGCATTTATTAATATTGGAATGGATATTAACACAATTGTTAGTCTTACATTTTGATAAGAGGATTTACTATTATCCCAGACCATAGAATATCACATTTTCTTATTTTAATTGAAGTTACCCATCTCTACGAGCAATGTAAAGAACATGAAATGACTATGTGTCTTATTTAAAACTCACAAATTACTACTAAAACTCAAACCAAAGAAAAATTTATATTTTCCATTTTTTTCCATTCTTGCCAAGGAACACTTCTTAACCACAATCTAATTCTTGGTATAAATCAAATGAACTCTAAGAAGAAAAAAAAATTGAAAGACAATAGTACATAACAGATAGTTCATAGTTACTCAAATTAGAAACTTGTTACTCAAATTTTTGTATTTTTGTTCTGTGATACTAAAATGTGTTATTATTCTGTTCCAACAGATGGTTAAAAAACACAAATAATATGTTCACAAACTAATCCATCCATAAGTTCAAACTTGTCACTTTCTGAATTTGTAATTATTTAAAAACTTTTTTAGGCATATGCCAATGAAGTAAACATTATAAATAATATCAAAATAGTATTTTCTCAAAAGACAATATGTGTTGTGCAAAAGTTCACAATAATATATAAATTTCATTAAAAAATGCTTCATTACATAATTTTATTTACACTACACGTTCACTATAAAAACTCTACTGTTTATCACTATACATTATTCTGTTATATTTTATCAACTGTTTTATCACTATATATTACTCTGATATAACGAGCCAGTAATATACCCAAGTCGAAAAAATATCAAAAAGAAGCAATAAACGTAGAGCCAACGGGACTATTCATTCCTATTTTCATTAAGGCTACTTGTAACTTCTAACCTTCTTAACCATTCTCCTTGGGAAAGTTGTCTTTGTTGGATTTTCAGTCTTGCTGCGGGAACATTTTGTAATAAAACGTATAAAGCAGAAGTTCTTCGTAGAATAAATTCCATGATGTTAGACACCTCGAAATTAATTTTGGATATAGAATTAATATACTATTCAACCCGGATCCATAAATAAAGAAAGATGTTTCAAACTGGCAATACGTGCCGACAACTGTGTATCATTGAAATCGACTTTGTATTAACACTGTCGTTCTTCTATTTTACATTTGTAATATAATTTTATATTTGTAAATAGGCAAATGAACGTTAACTGGCAATGCGTACAGAGAAAACTATTTTTCATTGTAATAGTGTTTCTATTATTACTGTTGTTCTGATTCTTCTATTATATATACGTAAAGTTACCCAAACTGTAGCGTCTACATTGTCGGGAGACAAATGAACATCGTAGGTAACTTCCATGTTCGAACTGGTAGGTCATTCGGTCCCGACCAGGGCCGATTCATTCAATGTTAAAAGGCGGAGGACTAAGTTTGTTTACTCAGCCACAGACCTGGTGCAGATAGCGCAGCTGTTGCGTTTTGGCGCTCATTTTCAAAGTAAAATTGTGCTGGTTGTGGTGCGTGTGGGGAATATCCATGAGTATTATCTGCTTTTCTTATGATTTACAACAAAGAATTAATTGTATTATTTGCAGAAGATGGGTAAATGTTCCGTAAGAGGGTGCTCAACCTCTTGGAGGATGCCCTTTCATAAGCTCCCCAAAAATCAACAGATGCGTGAACGATGGTTGAAAAACATAAATCGCCAAGACTTAATTGGTAAATTATGTATGAAATATTACAAAAGCTAATAAAATTGTATGTACTAATAAAATTAATCAAATATGCACACTTTGATATAATTGGTGGGACAGAACCTCACTTCTATAGAAGGGATATGTTTTATAGTAGAAAATTTACAATCTGCCCAATAAATGAGGATCTGTAGGCCATTAAATAATTTCTTGGTTACATATAACAATTTTTAATGTATTTTTAACGTGAATACATAGATGAAAAACGGGAAAATGGTATAAATGTCTCATTACTTCGTAAATTCATATCAGTAATAGGAAACAAAAATGAAAGGTCCAAATGTTGGAATGTTGATACCTATTCAATTATTTTATGCCAATTTGTTTAAATTAAAATCTTCAATTATCTTATATCCTGACCTTGGAACACCATTTTGGATTTCTTCATGAATTGTTTCCACAGATAAATAACGAAAAAGACAACAAAACAACAAATTAAGACATGAAGCAATTATTAAACTATATTCTTTTGATGGAAAAAAATATCAATTTAATAACCAAAATTACACACCCTTCTTTAGATTATTGTTTTATACTGCCTTTTAATTTCTATTTAACCGCGGTTGAAAGTCATAAGTTTATGTGTTGTAGTATGAAGTAAGATTTGCGTATGGTTCTGTGTACATTATAATGTCGACAATGGTATGTTGCTGCTTGGCCCCTGCTTAGAGACGATGCGGCAGAGACGATGCGGTATTTAATTTCTCAGAACAATATTCGTGTCCCATTTTGAAACTTCCCAGACTCATCTAGTTAATTTAAGAGAATTTACTTATGGTTTTCAATGTCTTAGATTGACGATTTTTTGGAGAAAATTAAAAATAGAATATGCCAAAAATACACTTACAAAAAGTAATAAATTTAATACATACATAAGATGAAATAGAAGCATATTTTTTCTTGATTGTTGCAAAATATTAAATTTGTATCACAATTTTATATATATATATATATATATATATATATATATATATATATGTATATATATATATATATCACAAACGATTAACTATTGCAATGCAAATATTTTTAGAAAACTTTCAAGATATATTTTGTCTAAAAAATCGATCTTTGTGAAAAAATGAAATACAGGTGTTTATATTTATCTACAAAGTCCTCAGAAAAATAAAATAAAAATCTGAGTCACCAAGGTCAAATTTTTCTTTTTGTGCGATGTAACGTGAAATATTTCAATTCATGATTCCAGTGAATCAATATCAATAATTGATGAAACTGAGTTGGAACTGTTTTGAACTATCCAAAACATTACTGCAGTGGACTTCCGAACTGGACATTTTCGAAGGCAGACTATTATAACCCTAGACGTTCACAAGTGGACATTTTAAGCTGAAACCGCTGAAAGTTCTACTGGTTTAAAAGCTCCCGCCTTGCAAACGGTTCACTCACATGGAATACGGAACGAACTTGATGTGTACTGGTTGGTGAACCACAATGAGTAGGGAATGATCTGAAGTGAACGACTGGAAATAAACTGATGAACGACTGAACACATCAACATTTGTTTTGGTGTCCTTGCAGCCGTGTGTTGGTGTTTGAAGGTATGTTTTGATTTTTACTGAAATTAGATTTTTCTCAAGTAAACTTTGTCCAAATTAATCTCACACTTACATGAAAGTATTAGTGATTGTACGTTATCAAGAATGGGATTTGAAACAGAATTAATTCTTAAAATTCCTTTTATTTAAACTAATGAGAACAAGATTGACATGGGCCCAATGGACGATAAGTTATATTTAAAGAGAATGAATGGGGTGTATTCTTAGCTAGTGGATCTCGCATTGCCATCTTGTAAGTTACTTTTTGCGCCAATTCATGTTTACAAAAGCAGTGCTAGTTGTCAAACGTAAATAGTTTACTAGAGTGCCTATGAAGGTGGTGGATGTAGAAATATCTTGCAAAGGAAGCCGTACAACATACGCTTGTAACGAGACAGTCAAAAGTTTTGGCAATTGCGACGGCTCATTTCATTCAAATTTCTGGCAAAAAAGTTAGCTAATAAAATTTTTATATGAAATTATTTATTATTTGGTTCTTAGTGGTTAAAAGTATTTGCAGAACAAGGAAAAACAAACAAACAAGGAAAGCATAAGTTGAAGATTATTTTCTATGTTGTTTTATTAAAGTTTGAGAATAAAATACTGTCTACATAAATGAAAAAGTTTCTGCTATAAGGGAAGTTCAGCACACCATATTCCTTGTGTTTAATGACTACATTGCCATACTGGTAGCATCAGTAAAATATGTTTTAACATTGATCTAAGGAAGTTACTGAAATATATTGTAATTTGATTTATTAGCTAAGTTCCATCTCAGAAATAATTTATGTAGGAATGGAAGATGCAATTAGCTGCCACAACCAGCCTATTATAAGGAATGTTGATGCATGGAAAATATTTGATTTGTCTTTGCTTTGTATACTAGATGTAGTGGTGAAATGAGATAGGAGACAAGATAGACACTGACATCTCATTGAAAAATATATAAAAGATAGGAACTAATTAATAGAATCTGACACGTATTGTATAGGTCATACTATTCTTCAGTTCCGTGTCTGTTTTCAAAGACAAAGGTTTAAGTCATCATGATGAGTCAGAGCTCTGCCAGTGCAGAAATGAGTAATACACAGATTTATTATCAATGTTTAAAATAGATGGTATAAAATGCACCAAAAATTTTGAAAATGTACAGAAATTCGTTGGAAAAGAGATCCTTTCTTACTAAAAAGCAAAATTCTTAAAAAATGTGCATTGTAGCATTAAGGATTTAAAACAAAAATGTTGGTAGAAAAACTACTTTTTGTGAGATACTAAAAAGTTAAATCAATTAATTTAATGCACTGTACATCGCTGTCTTCTTTTTTTCATCGTGACTGCATCATTTATGAAGTGAACAGCTGGGGACACATAATACGAAACAGATGTTTTGACTTGATCATCTGTTGAGGATAAAGAGCGAGAAGATAACATGCTGTGTGAACAATTTTCTCTGTACAGCTAATAAATAGAATTCAGTCTTAGGACTGCTATTTGTCCTATTCATATGACATCAGAGATGGATTGTTTTCAGACTGGAATACTTATGCTGATGTCACACAGTTATTTGCTAACCCAAGAAAATACTACCAGGTGCTACTATCTGAACTTAAACCGACAAATGAGTCGTTGGAAACATGGCTACTTCCTCTCAAGACAAAAAAGCAAAATTCTACATCTTGGAACGGATAATCCACAGTACTGTTAAACCATTGGAAATCATTCCCTTGACACATTGCAACAGAAGAAGGATCTGGGAATTGTTAAATCCCAGGATTTGAAATGGGAGAATTATGTTGCTTCAGTCACAAAATGAGCCAACACAATGATATACTTAATTAGAAAAGCTTTTTCCACCTTGCAACCATCTGCAGTAAAACAATCCACTTATATCAGGCATAAGCTGGAATATGCAAATGTTGCCCACTAACAAAGAGACATTCTCCATTTAGAGAAAATGCAGAACCATCTCACAAAAACCCTGAAAGAATATAGTTGATTGTTGTATAAAGAAAGGTGCCATAAGATGTTTCTTTTGACTTTAGAGCAGAAGAGGAAAAGAGGTGGAACATGGTGGAAACCTGTAAGATCCTACATGGGCTGTACCATGTACCTCAATTTGAGACTATTCATACACATTCAGCCCCAGATCAGAGACTTAAACGAGGACATAATCTGAAGTGGCAAGAAAGAGTCATATATCACATTTAATTATTAATAGAGCTGTAAATGAGCCCTGAATCTCTCTGCAAACTGAGTTAACAAGAAGAATTTTCATTCAAGAATCATTTAGACCATTGTTTGTAGAGCCGAATGAATGAAGCATGTGATGTGACATAATGGTGATAGCTATGATTTGGACAGCTTAATGACTATGGTATTGTAATGGTGTGATAACTATGAATATGACTGTCATAACTGATGATTTGAAACATAATTGTGGGATATGTGTGTATCAGCTTGGTTTGCTGCTAGCATTATTTTATTAATAAGTCTAAGTATACTAAATCAACGAGTGAAGTGTCTGAGTTTCTGTTTTAGTGAATGTATTCAAAATTACTCGTATATCATCGTGTAAGATAAAGAAATTTGTTATTCTAGTGTGGTGAGATTGTTGAGTCTTGTGTTAAATTTTATGATTTAATTTTATAGAGTAAAAATCTTGTATATCTGGACATCATTCTAGTCCTGCTAAAGTTTTCTTCACAAAGATAAGGTCATGCAGTTTTTTGCTCAGATTAAGATGGTATTTTTAAACTTGTTTTCATCTTTTTACTGTTTTCATCTGTGTCAACTTTTCAACCATAATTTAAGTATTTGGATAAGATAGTAAAATGTTACCTCAAACCAAATGACATATGAGTAGTTACACTATAACTCTAACATAAAAATAAGATTTTGAAAGGTTTCTTTGCCCCATCCCACCACCCACAACCCTTGACAGTAAGAAAAGTGTTTTTTCCAATCAACTTAACACTATTTTATCTGACTGAAAAAAATATGAAAATAAAGAAAATAATTCATACTATCAAAAAATCAGTTTTGGATATTTTTTTCTGCTCCAAATTCAAACTCAAAAAAATATTTTTGAAAAAATAATGAAAAATCATATTTATTTTGACTTAGAACCCTGAAACAGGCTTGAAAAAAAGTCTAATTTTCCTCTCAAAACAAATTGTGAATTTTTTTCAGATTTGTTTGTCTGCTGGTCTGTAGTTAAAAAAAAGAAAAAAAACATTTTTATCATGTTCCTGCCTTTAAATCACCTTGCCTTAAAATACACTTTGAAAATAACTGCAATAGTTCAGTCTAATTTTTTTAGTGTGTGTTATCTTTGTGTGTCTTGCTATTTCTTCGAAATAGATTCTCAAAAGAAAGACTTTACTAATCATGAATAAATACAAAATATTATATAATTCATAATGCTAGATATTTTTATGACGCCTTAGCATATGGAAACACCTTAGAAGAACTTTCACAAAACAACAATGCATACTGGAAAACAGTTCCATTTATGTCCTAATTGGTGCTTTTAGCAGGAATTGATAAGAATGTGCCTATTGTTGGCTGCGCCCATCACTGCATGCACACTTTGTTGGCAGCGCTCATTATCCGAGATGTGTTGATATAGACAGAAGAATATTATTACATAACAGTTACTAAGGGGTGAGAAAGTATGTGCTGTTTTAGCCCCACTAGTTTGCTTAAATTTGATAATTTCTTTAATTTTACTGATCTTATCCAATCAACTTTAAATACAATCTTTATTTGGTTTAATTATATGTCTTACTTTTTTCAGAACAAAACAATTATGGGTGACAGTGGACGACGCAGACCTCCATTGAGAGGTGATAAAGAGCAAAAGGATGCGAGACCGCTGAGGAAAAGCCCGGAGCCAACCAAAAGAGGATTAGATGATCAACGGGTTACATTATTAGAGGATGAGAGATCCCAGGATGACAGCTTAAGGGAAATTGACAGAGTGATAAGCATGTTAATGGAATGTTGCTCTTTAGACAGCGAAACCTTAGAATCAAATTTGAAAGATACATTGGAGTATTTTGAATCATTAAATTCTCCACATGCAAAGAGGTGAGTTCAGTATTGTGAGTGATTTTTAAAAACTGACATTTAATGTTATTTGAACTGTGAAAATTTGATTGAAAATCAAGTAACATGTAATTTATTTGTATTGGTTCTACTGTCAGAGGGAATGATTTCTCTCTTTATAAATAATGGGGTAGAAATAGCAGTTTGATGATTATATGAGATTCTCAAAAGTTGCTGGTCAGTGAATGAAGGGTAGATGGGACTACGATTATACCGTAGACCATATGTGCTAATATATCACAAACATCAGCCAGCCTATTGAACACAAAGGTTCTAGGCTATGTATGGCTTCTACAACTTTTTAACTTTGTCGGTGAAAATCAGAATTGTCATGTAAGAAAAACGTAAAAAAGCAAAAAAGCTACGCTATTTTTAAATTAAGGAAATTCTTTTAACTTACAATTATACTTGATAAAAGTATAATGATAAATAAATTGAATGTTGAACTATTATTTTCCCCCACATAGTTTTCTTTGTAAGCAAATTTTTCTGCTTATTTCTGTTATTGTTATTTTAACAGTGTGCAAAATATTATCGTTATTTACAGACAATTTCTTCTTACAACTTTTGCTTTGTCGTTGGAAGATAGGGAATTTGCCAGAAGTGCAGGAACACTATATGGAGTAATGCACACCATAAAAATTGAAAATGATACTGTTAGATCATTGCTATTGTCAGCAATACAGAAGGAATTGGAAGGTGAGTATACTGTCCTCAAAATTTTTATTTGCTGAAGTGAGGTTTCTCAACAAACATGTTCACATTACTATGAATTCTGAGTAATATTTTTTCTTAACTCATCAATTTGTAGAGCTGAGAAAAATCTGAGTAATTTTTATTTTACAAACATTTAAATTCCAAATATATTTTCAAATATTACAAATAATAAATATTTA